ATTTTGCTGTGCTAGTTACACCTGATGATGGAAGCTTGTGTTGCCTCCGAAACGTCGTGATTTAATTTAGTTGTTTTCATTTTTTCTTTCATTTTATTTAATACATTTTTTTTATTTATCTTTTACCTACGTGACTTTACCGAAAGAACCAAAGAGTATGTAATAACTGTATTCATGGCATTAAACAATCAGTCTCCCCAGCGGTGGCTGGGTTGGCTCAAAGGTCAGAGGGTCAGAGCGCTGAGCCCAAACCACTAAGACCCTGCATTTGAATTCAGGTTTCAGCCGCCTGTGATTAAACTGGGTACTCCAGTTGTCCCGGGTTGATGGTCTCAGCCCCGGACGCAAAATGACCACGCCAATGACGTTCCAACACTCTCTCAGAGAGAGTTCTCGATGAAATTCGTCATCTCCTAACGCGATGTCGAGAGCACAAATTGGAATACAATTGCGGAGGGCAATAAAAAAAACCCGCAAAAATAAGTCTTTCCTGCCAGAGATTGATTTGTGCGAGGGTACCTTCAGTTACGAGGTCGTACAAGTTGGACGGTAATCGCTTGCCTCAAATGAACCACAATACCTTGCCGATCTCGTACAGGAGTATAAACCATCACATAAACCATAACGCGAACTCCGGGTAATCCTCGCAGCAGTGGCTTTTGGCTAATCATCAAACAAAGTCGGTCACCGCATCGCGCGCTTTCAGATGCGCTTCTGCGGCCGGCTGGAACGCTCTCCCTTCCAATATTAGGAAGCCACTGGAGCTATGCACTTTTATATATATAGATTGAAAACCCATTTATTTAGAACTGCCTTTTGTGTTTAGCTTGTTGTCCTTCCACAGCACCTCCGATCAGCACGGTTGGCTGCGTACATTGCGAAAGAAGTTCAACATCCATACATGTTTACAATTCCTGACGCCATCACGCCACCAATGAGCCTCCACCTCATCTCGAGGGTTGATGACTAAATTTGCAGCCTGAAGCTGTATGTGGCCACGTGTCCTCTCAAGCCTTGAGTATTGCCTAGGCACGTGAGCAGCCATTAATTCTGTGACAATGTTATTTGTGCAGTCAGTTGAGACTGGGTGCAGCTATCCAATTCCCTTACTAATGAGACGCTCCATTCAGCACAAGGGGGGAGGAGGCACATTTTTTATTTATTTGTTTTATAAGTTTAAGCTCTAGAGCTTGAAACGAGGACGCATGGTGCTAAATCAACGAACGTTCACTTTGACTTTGTATCGGTGGCTCTGAGTGAATTGTGTAAATTCCACATTCCTATGGCAATGACCAGTTTTTCCATAAAACAACCTCTGTTCATGTCGCACAATGTGGTACTTAATTTATTGACCCTGGAGTGGATGACGGGCTGAGCCAACACCTAAACGGGATTTGAACAGATTTTTCATTTGTGAATTTGGCACTCTACCACAGTGCAACTGGGCTGTTCAAATAACATTTAACATAATTCTTATGCATTTATACATTTGAGTCCTCTCTGCATATGGATACGAGATGCAACGATCCTAATAATGTTGTTATAACCAACTTATACTTATTCATCTCGCCTAAGCCAATTGTGTGCAAGTCATTACATGTATTATAAAACAATTCCCATACCATGTTAATTATTCCTAAAAATGCCTTGACACATGCTCTCACGTGGGTTGTTGGGATTGCATTTCTGCACGCTCGCGTGTGTCCCATGTGTTAGTGAGCTTGTATTTAAGTCCGATTTATCCCTGCCTTCGAAATAGCAAATGCAATAACTTTGGCGCAGAAGCCCGCCATTGTCCTCTTGTAAGTGCGGCAGGGGGCTGTGTTTTTCCGGAAGTGTTTGCTCAGCCAGAGCACGCTAATGGATTGCGCAGATTGATTGATCGCCGTTCTTCCTGTGTTATGGCTTTTTTTTCCCTTGTATTTGTTTGCAGCCTCTCTTTCCCCCCCCCTCCACCGTCCTCCGCTCCCGGGCAAAAGCAGTCAACACGGCTGCTTGACTTTTTGAGAATGGGCATGGCTATGAAATGTAAATGGCAGTGCTCAACCGGAATTCACTGATAGCAAATCTACGTCAAAGGATTAGGTGGCTGAAATTGTAATTGAGGCCCATGTGACGTGGTGGTTGGACTGCCCGACTCACAGTCAGAAGGGTTGCGAATTCAAATCCCAGCTATGGGTAGACTCAGCCCCATTATCTCTCCAATGGTAGATAAAAAAAACAGGTACCACTTTATCGAAATCCAACTGGTCATTCTTCGGAGAGAGCCTGCTGGCTCCTTCCGTAGACATGCTGAATTCCCTTCACCGGCTCAACTTCCCCCCGCCCCAATCGAGATGCGAACCGCTCGCTTGAGGAGACGCTCTGCTGATTGACTCTGCTTGACATGAGCGCCAGCAGTATGATTTGTTGGCTGCATCTCTCCAGCGACGCTCCGGTGAAGTCCACGATATAGTCGGGGAATTTTAGAGCAGATCGTTGCCGGCAATTGTTACCGGCAACGCGTTTTACTCACGAGCAGCAATGGCTTAAGAGTGAACGGGTTCCGTCTTGCTAATGAATACTGTGTTTGTTGAAAACTGCGGTGGATGGCAAATGATCGTTCTACAGCGCACAACAACCTCGGGTCGCCACGTGATCTCGGTCTGCGATCTCATTAGACTTCGCTTTCTCAGTTGCCCACGGAGGGGAACGGTGATGAGAGTTAGCCAAAGTTCAGCGGCTATTATTGTTGTTATATATTCTTGGTTCTTTCGGTAAAGTCACGTTGAAGGGAAACAATAAAATATATATGAAACAATAAAGTTCTCACGACGTTTCGACTGTAACACAAACAGTCATCATCAGGTGTGAAAAATCAACGGCAAGAAGCATTTGAAGGAAGTGGCCGTTTGTATTTATTAATTTATTTTCAAACGTTGCATTTATTTATTTTTGAACAGTGTTTGTACTTTATTTTTTAAAACGTTAGCGCCACGGATAGCGATTTGACAGTTTGTTTAGAAGGACGAGTCCATCTATGTTCGGAAAAGAGGAAGGGGGAGACGAAAATTTAATGTATGCTGTCTGAAAGCCACCGTAAGCGTGAACAATCAATTAAGACCTGAAATGGTTTATCAAATCCTTCCAATGATTGCTAAGCCAGAATCCATCTTCTCAGTTGAAATTGTTTCTGTGTTTGTATATGTGGATAGCCTCATGAACTAATCTCTCATGGTAGCCCGATGGCTTGCAAAGAACCTCTGTCTTGGAGAAGTCAATGTCATATGAGCCTACTGAATTATAACAGTGATCTGCCACGGCCGAGGTGTTGGTCCTACCGTGTTTAAGGTCTGCTTTGTTTTCACGAATGCGGTCCGAGACATGTCGTTTGGTTTCTCCAATGTAACTACTCCCACAGAGGCAACTTAGTTTGTAGACACCAGGGTACTGTATGTCCGGAATCACATATTTTACAGACGGAACCAGATCACGGATTTTATGTAATGTGTTGAAACGGACCTGGATCTTGTGTTTATTCAAGATTTTGGAGATCTTTTTTGTGATCTCTGCAATGTAGGGTAAAGTGATGGTTTTGAAAGGCTCCTCAGGAGGGTCCTTCTTCATGGTTTGAGTGATAGCTTTGCGGATTGTATAGTCGGAGTAACCATTAGCCTTAAGAGCTTGGTGTACGTGCTTGAGTTCACTGCCTATGTGTTCCTGGTCGGATATGCATTGGGCTCTATGGTGCAGAGTCTTGATGAGAGAATTCTTCTGTGATGGATGGTGGTGGGAATCCGGTTTCAGATAAGCATCCGTATGGGTAGCTTTCCTGTCGACAGAGTGGCTCATTGAACCATCAGGTCTCTTTTTTATTAGGACATCCAAAAAAGGTAGCTTGCCATCTTTTTCGACTTCCATGGTAAATCTGATGGCTGGGTGTATGGAATTGATGTAGTCGAAGAATTGGTCTAGAGCAGGCCGGCCATGTGGCCAGATGACAAAAGTGTCATCCACGTACCTCTTCCATAAGGTTGGGCGCAGAGTGGCAGTCTGGATGGCGTCAGTCTCAAATTTCTCCATGAAAATGTTGGCTATAACCGGAGATAGGGGGGAGCCCATTGGGGTGCCCTCAGTTTGTTTGTAGAAAGTTCCATTCCAAGTGAAGTATGTATTGGTTAAGCAGTGTCTCACCAGGGTGGGGTACCTCAGTGTTTAGTCCTTGATGAACCAAGTCTTCAATGATTGCAATGGTGTCAAGTACAGGAACCTTGGTGAATAAGGAAACTACATCAAAACTGACAAGCAGGTCGTCTGGGGACAGGGAAATACCCTTGATTGTCGATACTAGGTGAGTAGAATTTTGTACCGCAGAGGTGGTTTTTCCAGTGAAAGGACGCAGGATTTCAGACAAAAAACGAGCTGGTTTGTAGGTGGGGGAGTTGATAGTAGAGACGATGGGACGAAGGGGTGTATCTACTTTATGTATTTTTGGTAAGCCGTATAATCTTGGTGGCCTGGCAGCAGAAGATTTCAACGAAAACTGTTTAGATTGATCAATTAATGCGGTTGAATCAGAAATTATTTTGTTGATTTGTGTGACGAGGCTTTTGGTGGGATCTCTTTTTATTTTTGTATAACTACCATCGTCGAGTAATTCTTTAATTTTGTTGTTGTATTCTATTTTATCCATGACGACAGTAGCATTGCCTTTGTCAGCTGAGAGGACTACAATATCATCCCTCTTTTTTAATTTATATAATTCAAAACGCTCATCTTTGCTGAGGTTGCTAGTTGGCATCTTAGCGTTTTTGAGGGTTGCAGCGATTTTAGATCTTGCTACGTCTGCAGCGATGTGACCCAGAAGAATTTCAAATGCTTCTTGCCGTTGGTTTATCACACCTGATGATGACTGTTTGTGTTACAGTCGAAACGTCGTGAGAATTTTATTGTTTTATATATATTTTATTATTTTATTGTTTCCCTTCAACGTGACTTTACCGAAAGAACCAAGAATATGAATCACTGCAGTCACGAAAGCTTTAAATCAAAATGTATTATTGTTGTTGTTTACAGTGGAGAGTGGTATGGCACGTAGTACTGCTGAAGATGACTGAAAGCCCTTACTCGGCTTTGACTTGGTGCATCATGGTCTGTGGGTCTGGTTGGCAATTGGAAGGGTGACCACCATAGCAACATCGGGTCTCTCTGGGCAGTTGTCATTTGTTGGGGACAATCTGTGTCGCGATCTGTAATTCAAGTGACATTTTGCATTGTGCAGCATTATCGGGTTCTGTATTTTATAGACAAACGTTTACTTTAAGTAAAATACATTCAACGAATTTCTTGCCTCCAATCAGACATCACATGGCAGTCTTTGATAGGAAGGGTAGGTTTTAGATTCAGTGTCCTGCCTGAAAAGTCTACTTCTTCCGACATTATTGAAGATCACATGGTAGTGTGATCAGAATAGTAGAAGTTTAATGCAGTGTACCAGAAAAAAAGAAACTAATTTTGTTTTTGGTATCTAATTATATTTAGCTGGTATTGAGCGAGCGAGCAAGTGAGTGACATTCTAATAATGTTCTATAGAAATATTAAAAGGCAGAAATTTGGCGTATAGTTGTCGATGCTTTTAACAAGAAAAACACGTGACCCAAATTGTAATGTTTTGGGTCCTCCAGAGGGTGGAGGCCAAAATATTTGAATGTTGTTATTGAAACTAGACCAAGGTATGTTTATATCTGGGGTGACAAGCAAAAAAATGTTTAGTTTTTTTTTTTACTCTGGGAACGAACTTTTAAGTTGTAAATTCAAGGGTGATACATTCTAATGACTAACATTTTTTCAGGTGATATTCATTCGAGAGCCCCTCTCTCATGTTGCTTAACCCCCTTGTAATTCCGTAGCCGTGGATTCGAACCACATCCCTCAAAGTAAGCGCATGGCGGGGGCAAGATGAGTGATGGGCAGGTGCCTGTTCTTCCACGGCGATGAGGTTGCTACCTTAACCCTCGTGACCCCTCTTGAGGGCCGAGCGCGTGGCGTGTGCGGCGCGCGGTGATCGCCGTGCGGCTTTTGGCTATAGCCATCGAACAAAGGCGGTCGCCGCATCGCGCGGCGCTTTCGGATGCGCTTCTGCGGCCGTCTGGAACGCTCTTACCTTCCGATATTAGGAAGCCACACCGGAGCTATGCACTTTTTACATCTAAGGTTGAAAACCCATTGCTTCAGATCTGCTTTTTTGTGTTTAGCTTGTTGTCCTCGTCCCCCCGCACCTCCGATTAGCACGGTTTGCTGCGTACGATGCGAAACACACGCACGTGTGAAAACGGCCGGAAGGGAACGGCGGCCCGTTACCCCCCGCGCAGCCCTCCCGCGCTCGCACCTTCGGCCTGGCGTGCAGAGAATTTCAGAAAACGCCGAAATCACGGCATGTGTTTATTTTTTTTTCCCCCCCGCGCGCCACCCCTCTCCCCCGTCTCTCGACGGCGCCACAGCCACGCGCACAATCTTAATGCGATCGCAGTCACCGCGTGTTGCGGTGGGAGATAGAGTGGCGGCCTTTCATAACGTGGCTGCGTATCGAATGGATGGCTTCGTAATAAGTCAGGCATTAAATCGTGCATGAATCTGCCACCGTGCGTGCGTGTGAATTTTTAGCAGGGAGCACAATGGCAGTGTGCGTATATTTTCGTCTGTTTGCAACAAAAAAATCAATTGGCGCCCGTAATGAAATGCGACGAATATCATTTTGTTCTAGTTTCATATGTCACAAATCTACGTACGTTTGCGCTGGCATTTTTACATGACACCTATTTTCAAAATGAATAGTTTGTATTACAATGCTTGTGTTGAACACCTATAATGGTGTACGATATAATTTTAGAACAAATGTTTGCAGTCCACTAACCAACAGGGGTGGCACTTATGTCCGCACACGCGATTCATTTTGGACCTTTCTCCGCGCACAATACCATATTTAGTATTTACGGTGGTGCACACACATAGCACAGTGTGCGGAGAAAATCTTTGGGGGCTGACGTAACACGAAGATGTGTTGAAACGAAAACACTTGAAACCAAACGCGGCAATTTGATGTCCTAAGAGCAGCAGCTGAGGATCTGTCACTTCTTATCCAATTATGTGACTTAGTGGCGAGTGGCCTTTTTAATGGATTTCCAATGTTGACATCTGACACCGCGACATACGCAACTTTTTCTCAGGTTAAATGCGCCGGCGGGCCGGCGGGCGTTTACGCGTGGAAAATCGTTTTCCTCCGTCGGCCAAGGAATGGAATGGTTCTGAGAGAGAGAGAGAGAGAATTCGTCCGTCGAGGATATGGAGCGGTGGAAGTTGGCCCGTGTGCAGCATGCGCGCTTCGGTGCATTATTACATCGCCGAATGGTGACAAGTGGCAGCGGCTTTTGGGGGGCAGGCCTTCATCCAGCAGTGGATTGATCGTGGCTGATGATGAATTAACACGCCCTTTATTTATTTATTAAGTGTTGAGCCAGCTGGCCAGGACTGAGCAATGACGTTGCCCACTCTTCACCCAGGCGACCGGCGAGCACAGACTGCGGTGTTTTAAAAAATACTTATTACGAAAACAACGGACAATTAAATATATATGTCTAAGAATGCACAAGTATTAAAAAATATATATATATATTTTTCAGAAGAAAATGTACAATGTTTAAAAAAATATATTGTCAATTTCTCTGCATTTTCTTTGTCGTCATATGTGCCAGCACTTAATTATTGGTATTAAAATTCTACATTCGCACACATTGTATACAATCTGTTTCACGTACAGGTGCAATGAAATTGTATATCCTTTTGTGTACATTGAAGTCAAACATTTCAGTTTGATGATATCTTACTGAGAGATTGTTGTTTGTAATTTGGGCATTAACATAATTCACTTCAGTACATTTTCGTCATCTTCCACAAACCGCACACTTTCGTGAATTTTGGGCAACTCTCGTCTCTCAGATCATGCCAAAAATAGACACGGATCGTAGCTCATCTTAAAATCCTTGATATTTAAGATCATCGCCTTCTTCCTGTAGTGGCTTGACAACAGGTTGCAAATTAATATGTTTGGGTTACAGTAGGGCATCATTCGGTGCCGTCTTGTAAACGATGCACGTGAAGTGTTGTAAACGTGCCTGACTTTCCTCGAGAATAGAGAGAATATCGAACAATTCCATACAGTACCATTGTCTACCTTGCCCCTGCGGCATACAGGTAATTTTTTTTCTTCCCCTTTACCTCTTGTCATGCTTTATTCCCTTGTGTAAAATAATCCGCTCACTCCACGTGCAACGCTCACAATATGTACAATCGCATCCCGGGTGCCCGTTTGCTCGTTCATTCTGCGTTCGAACCGCCGCGTACATTGCATGAAATCTGCCGCACCGCGGTTTTGACATTTGCAAGAGAAAGCGCGGGGATTAAACGATTACGCAGCTCTGCAGGCTTTTAGGCACGTTACGCTTGCCGGACAGTCCATTATTAAGGGTGACGTCATGTTTTATTTTAATCACTCGGGCTCCTGATTTTTTTCTCTCTCCTCCTTTTCCCCACCCCTCTCTTTCACGGTCGATGTTTTGCCGTTGCCATCAGCCAATCCGCTTAAGCCGTGATCTCGAGGGACGTGGCGGTGGGAGGGGAGGGATGCAGGCAAGGGAGGGAGAGGAGTAGGGAGAATACAGAGAGAGCGTTGCTACGACGCAGAGCGATGGGCACGGAGAGCAGAGCGCGGTGACGGTCCATCGCTCGCGATGCTGAGCGCAAGAGGGCTCTGAGCGCGGCGGTGGGTGGGTGGGTGGTTGGGTGGGTGGCGGCGAGCGGCCACGGCAGCAATTTTCCTGCCGGCGTCGTCGTCCGGACTTGCGGTGCATCCGTGCTCCCGTGCGGAATTCGGCGTCCGGAGGAGCGCAGCCAAAGCAAGGACCGACCCTGCGTTTGGCGACGGACAATGCACGTTAAAGCCAGCGTCCAGCACGGCTGCCTGCACCTGCCATCGTGCCGCTTCAGCAAGGGAGAAGAGGGCAGGGTTTTAAATTGAAAAGGGATAAAAGAGAGAGTGGGTTGGGGTTGGGGAGGGGGGGTGAAGGAAAAAAAATCTCCTTGAACGTCAGAATAGTTTTTTTCTTCGCTGCTTTTTTCATCAGCCCTGCTGTCTGTGTGGAAATGGCTTTTCTCATGCGTTGCTATGCCAACTGTCTGCGACCGTGGTCGTCAAAAGTAAGCGTTATCATTTTTTTTGTTACACACGCACCGTCTGTTTTCGCCGCTTGGATTTCGGCAACGAGAGCGGGCGGGAATGGCAGCGGGGCGCGATTTGTGCGTGTCGCTGTCGTCCTCGTTTCTCCGCTGCCTGCCGCCCGTGTTAGTGCTCTCGTGGTGGTGCCTGCGAACGGCTCTCCCGGTGTGTTTTTCGCGTCCTGCCGCGCGTTGTTCGGCACGGCGCCTGACGTTTCGCGCCACGTACCGCGTGGGCTCGAGAATTCGATCTTCAGAAACTTGAGTTGGAGGTCTCGGCACGTCGGGCGAAACGTGGGACATCATTGCCAAAACAGCGCGCGGCGCAACCTGAAATCACATCGGAGAGATTTTTGACTTGGCAACCAACTCGTAGTTTAATAACCTGGATTTTTGCTTATAGTCGTTGCTGTTTAAGCAGCCCCTAAGCAAGAAGAATATTGACTTCGTGAGGCGCCTGAATAATTTTACTGCCCGAAATGAATTTGTAACTTGAAGGGTTGTTATCATCGTTAGCACAGTGTCATATTTCTTGAGATTGTTTCTTGGTAATAATAACATTGCAGTTGTCCATTATACAGGAAAGCTTAATCTGAGACTTGGGAGTTTTTATTTTGTTTGGGTGGGTTCTATCTGGCAGGTGTGGCCAGATATTTCTAGTGTGTGTTGATTGTGAGGAGCAAATTGGAGTGCTGTACCTGTACGAACTCTGTGCACGTGAGTATATAATTCTGACAAAATCTGTAGCGGATAGGCCAGAAACCCATCGTCGACACACGTAAATTCTACTGGTCGTAATTTAAGCCCTGCGGGTTTGAGAGTTCCTTAGCACATGCCAATCTCTGTGTGATCCAACAAACCCAGCCATATCCAAGGCGTTGAATCACACCCATGGACCACCACACCCAGCTTTGCATTGTTGACGTTTCGTGCTTTTTCCCCCCAAAGCAATTGCTGGCTGATAGATACGGAACAAAGTAATGCGTTATCATCATTTACTTACACCGTATCATTATGCGTGTTATGATTGTATCTTCCTTCTCCTTATCTGCGAGCGATTCACCAGCAGCGGCGTGAGCAAGCACTTTCAGGGCTGCCCCTTCACCGCCTTCACCCTCGGTGACGCGATTAATCGCCACGATCCTGGGTCACCAGTGTGTGTTCAAGAATGGAGCCCTTTAACTCTGATGTTGTTTCTGAATGTAGCGCCCCTAGTGGCTGCGGAGGTCACGTGAGCCGGTGACCTTACAGCACTGTACCATATAGCACGGAATATGAATCGAAAATAATGTATTGTTACAGGCATGATTCCCGATGCATGCATCCAATTTGTATGAATGTAGTCCAGTGCATCCATCCATCGTTGAATGCCTACAGCGCAGTAATATTTATATTTTATTTTTCTCCATCACGGTTGCTGAGCACAGGGCCCCAAATGGCCTTGACATCAAGTGGCCAGCAACAAACAGCCCCGTGGAAGGTCTTTAATAGAATGGCTTTAGTAGAAGTGGATGGCAGGATGACCAGGTAGCCGGATGTATCGGTGGCTTGATCCTCTCATCCTTGTGCTCTTCGTGCAGCGTTGGGTGCCTTGAGGAGGCAGTAACAGCAACTAGGCTCACGATATGTTTGTGGGCGTTTGAAAAAGTCACACTTTTTTTTGACATCCTCCATGCCAAACATCCCAAGAGGGGGATAAAAAAAACCATGTAATGATTCAGCCAGGGTTTAATGTGTTTTAATAACAACATTTAGTATTTACAGTACAGTATATGTTTTTTTTTGGGGGGGGGCTGGGTAGCAGCATGTATTGCTGGGTCGGGGGTAGCCAGATTTAATAGGTTGCTGGGTGACTGGGATACTGCCTGGCTGGATTGCTAGATGGCTCGGTTTCTCGGTGAATGGGTAGCTGGATAGTTGGCTGACTGGGTGGTTGGAGGGCGAGATTGCTGAATTGCTCGTTTGGCTTGGTGGCTAGATGGATGGGTTGCTGGATGCCTGGGTGGCTGGATTTCTGGGTGGCGAAGGGTGTTTGGGTTCATGGCGGAATATATGGGTGGGTGGGTCGCTGTCTGAAATTCTGGATAGCTGAATAGCTGGGTGGGCCGTGTGACCGTGTAGGTGGGTGTCTGTGTGTCTGGGTCTCTAGGTGGGTGGGTGCCCGTGTGGCCATGTGTATGGGTGGTTCCTTAGGGCTAGAGACCGTGCCTACCCCCCCCTTTCCCTGCCCCCCACCCGGTTGTATTCTCCCCTGTGAACTGACCGTGCTTCAGGATGCCCATGCGATTGGCCTCACAAAGAGACAATGGGGGAGAGCATTTGTTAGGGAAATGGATGTGGCTGAGATGGGGAGGAGGTTAGAAGGTGGGGGGGGGGGTGGTCGTGGCCGCTCCAGTGGCTGTGTGTGCGGCGGTGGTGGTGGTGGTGGGGGGTTGGCAGGCCAGGGCGGGAAAAGGTTTAGAATTACAGCCATTTATTTAACGGGGCCCTTTTGCTGCCATCGGGAAGCTAGAGCGCTCCGTGACAGCTGCAAGAGTGGAAATCGCCCCCTCCAGCAGCCATTTTTTCCCGTGAATCCTCTCACAGCCGCGGCTTGCCCTGGAACCTGCCTCGGCTCTGCGACGGCGCTTTCCCTCGCGCCCTTAAGTAACGGCGGCCGCGCGCACACCATCGACCGCTGCGGTGCTGCTTCTTTTTTTTCTTCTTCTTCTTCTTCGTTTGTTTGTTCGCTTTATTTCGAGCGCTTGTCACGAAGACCCGGGTGGCGGGCGTGTGCGCGGCCGACATGGGTTTGAGCCCTTGACAGCGGCCATCAGTCAAGCCGGCGGGTGTCGGGGGTGGGGAGGTGGGAGATGAACCATGAAGGGCCTGGAGCTCGTAACGATGTGCGTTAGTCAGGAGGTGAGTTTCCCGTTTGTGGCCGCGACGGAATTGCAAGATCTCACGGGCGGCCGCCCGCGCCGGGGGCTTTTGTGTGGGAATAGAATGATGCAGGCCGTGTCCCATGACCGCCCGACTCCGTTTGTAAGGCGCCCGACGCGCAGTGTGTGCTTGATCAATTGTTTGTTAATCGCAAGAGGCTGATTTGGCCGTGGCATCGATCGCGAAATGCCGCGTACTTATGGGGACCTCTTTAAAGGGGGTGGTGGGTTGAACGCGTCTCTCTCGCCGTCCCCCGTGACTAAAGGAGCCAAGAGGTTTTTTTTTCAGCGGATGACAACTGCCACTTTACACTTGAATAGGCGTTGGGGTGACGCTCGTTTAATTTGGAGGAAATTTCACATTCCCACGACGAGGGCCGTTGTCCGCAGAAAATTGCTGCTTTTGACTTGCCACAAAAGTTTAGAATGTCCCGCGAGGGAATGGAGCAATGAAATCAGCTTCTGTGTGGGTGCTTTGTGGGTTATTACATTTTAATATCGTGAGAGATGGTGATGTCTTAAGAAGGCCTTCATCCGGCAGTGGAGTGAGCATGGCTGATGATGATTATATTAAAGTTTTACTTTAATTGTTTGAACAGGATTGAACATTATGCGTGTGAGTCAAGCAATCTAACCTCGCGGCTTGATTCTACTCGCACAGTACATTCGTATGCACAAAAATTTATGAAATGGATGCAAAGATATAAAAACTAATTAAGGCAAAATAATTCCCGAAGATCTTTCTGGCATGTGGCCCCAAAGACCAGCGGTGGGTTTCGAACCCATGTACAGTGAACTCTTGGACAGATGCTTTGTTTTTCCCCTCGGCAGTGGCAGATCGATACTTTTTCACCAGTCATTTGAAGACCTTCTTGAGTGGCCTGCTGAAAGAGCATTCCTAACTGACAGCATTGATCCTCTGGCAATTGCATGCCATATTTACGTCCTGTATTAACGATTTGGCAATTTCCTGAAATTTCTGCCCACGATTATTCATTGTAGAATCAAATTGGGCGAGCACTCGTGTTGTTGTTTTTTTTCTTCTTTCAAGTCCCATTTAGGCTGTTGTGTAATTGTTTGTAAAATTGCTCATGTCGGCGCCCGTAGCCTGGCAGCCCCTGGAGTAATCCATCATCGTTTTAAGTTTGTGCAGCAACTGGCGAATGTGTACACAAACATATTGACGGGGGCGCCCAAACGACTGTTAACTCCAATGGGTGCCATTGTGGTGAGATGTTAACTACCTCGCCTGGAACATAAGAGGTCGTAGGTTCGATCCCGACCCTGACGCCTGTATATTGGGAGTTTGCATGTCCTCCCCGTGGTCACGTGGATTTTTATGCGGGTCCTCTGTTTTTTTCCCTTCCACATTTAGAAACGTGCACTTAGAGTATTTGGCGGCCATAAATTTCCACGCGATGAGCCACTTCGTAAGGCTATCATTTGTAGCCAAGTCGCTTCTTATATGGCTCAGTGGGCCTTACCTGGGAAAAATTAAATAGATATGTACACGGAGCTCAAATTAGAACAAGTTTGCCTTATTCTAATTTTATTTTGACTGATACAGATCACAACTTGGTTATGGTGACAATCTATTGTTATGTTGATTATTACGCTCACATTAATTTATTCAAGGGCGGCTTGATTGCCTCGTAGAGACGGTTATATTCCCATCACAGCTGCTCAGTAATTTCTACAGGGAATTAGCAAAACGTGCTTGCCGCCGCCTGTAAAATAGATGTTGGAGACCATAGGAAGTGTGTGCGTGTCATCGCCAGTGTCATAGGCCAAAATTGTCTAAATGAATTGTGAACTAGTACCAGTCTCTATGCGAATAAAAAAAGTCTCAAGGCTTCGACCGCAAATGTCATGTTGAATCCCTTGACTTAAAATAAAAAAACAAGATTTAGCGGGGCCACATTTTGTTTCCACATATAAATAAAAATATATGTTTTTTTTCCATGAGCATATTGACTTTCCAGACCAATATTATCAAGCAGAATTTGCTCAAGTGCGACAATATTCTCGGGCCAGTTCCAACCTCATAACAAATTCCGCAGC